TTTTTTTCAAATGGCAGGCATTTTGACAGTTATCATTAGCCCTTTAGTTGACTTCGGGCTTCACAGAAGGGAGGAACATTAAAGTGAGAAAAATTCGACAGGGAGAAAGAAGAGCGATTCACAGATGTAACAGACAGACAGACACAAAGGCAGAGAAAAGGTAAGATGAGTACTGTGGAAGGGGTCGAATATGACATACAGTGAGGTTATGGAAGTTTGAAGTCAGAGGTCAACTGCCAGTTAATAGACTTTTTTGCCGTATGAGTATACGTTGCTCAGGGTGCACCACGTGGAGGTTATTCTATCGCACACCCCTCGTGAGCAACATATGAACATATGAATAACTTTTGGATCGATAAAGTGCATTTGAAATGGACACAGTTAAGTGAATTATTTATTAAAAGTAATTACATTTTATATATTACAAAAGTCGTATTCAAGCATTTTTTGTGTAAATATTCAAGAGTTGGAATGTTGGAAATGATTCCTATGCTACGAACAAAAAATTTAATGTGTACATCGAAATGCGAAATGTGCACCAAAACGCGATGAAATAATATTTTAGGCTTTTAATTGTCAAAAGATCGTTCAAGTTAATGAAGTTCAATTGCTATTATTATCGTGCTTCCATGACACCATTTCTTTATAATTGTCAGGTTTCGTAGATATTCACAATAATTTAGAAATTTTTGATGTAGGTCCAATCATGTTACTTTTCAAACCCATATTTTAAGGAGAAAATTGATTATTAGACGTTTTAATAAGGTGTTTTTCAATGGGCTTCCTATAAGTTAACCACATCGGGATGAGAAGACATTTGAAAACTGCCCATCGCATATATTCGTGAGTGTTGGTTTATCGATCTGAAGGGATAAATACTGATGAGATTTGAAGGAACAGAATAATAGATAAATTGTGGTTTTACTTGAAAAAGCAAGAGTTTCAATTGCATTTTGAAAGGGTAAAAAGGTGTAATTTATATTTTCTCAAGAAAGAAAGTTTCAACTATTGATTATGGGTCTTAAATTGATAAGTGTGATGATAGATGTTGGAAGTAGACAGACAATCTACACTCTCTCATTTTTAATATGCTCTAACGAGTAGACTGGATAGGTGCATTCAACCACCTTTACAGCCGACGTAACATACCATTTTCTCGGAAGTGGACTAATATTCAGTTTATTTAATTTAGATCTCGATAGATATGAACTCATTCACCCAGATGCTAAGTTCCCTCTTCGACTTTTGCAGCTTAAAATAATCTCAATGTTATGTGAGCTGGTATCGGCTCTGCTCTAAACTTTCTCAGCATGTCTTCTTATTCCGGCCCGCTTAATCTTGTTGAAGGTCTACGCGTTATTGACACACAAGTCAAGCTCTTCTCATCCACATTTTTTACGCATGCACTTCTAAAGCTCATTTTCTTTATAGTTGAGGAAAGTTTCTCATTAAAGATGGTTTAGACAGCAACTTAGAAGCAGCTTTCTCAAAGAATCAACGATAATTAACAACCACTACGATAAGAAGATTTGCTACAAATAACTGACAATTAAGTGGCGATATTTTTTAACATAATCATCATTCCTATCAAGACTGCAGAAGGCGCAAACGTTGCCAGAGTAAATGAATAAAAGAGAGTGTCATTTGCACTGATGGAAATTAGATTAGGGTTAGGGTTAAAGAATAGTGGAATTTATCACCTTTTTGCTGCTCTATGGATAAAATGTGCCGTGAAATCGCGAAAACTGAATTAGTACTCTATCGCTCATCGCTAAAAAGCATTCCCAAAGAGACACACGGGGTCTGATCGATTGGACTTGAGAGGCAATCGATATAAAAGCGAATCACAAGCATTGGCAAGCAGGTGACGCTGTTTTGACAAGTTTTTTTCATCATGAACTCGACATCCACCCAGATTATTATTTTTATTATAACAACGAAGTAAAATGGCGACAATTACTTTTGACAAAAGAAAGTGCTCTTTACTGGGGTTATAATATTTTAAATAAACGCAAAATCTACACAATAGCGTACTTCACTCATTGCTGTCAATAAATCTTATGCCACTATCTTTGAGAAAATGAAAGAGATCGTTTTATTTAAACTCCTGTTTAATGAGCAATAAGAAATTTCGAACCCATCATTATGAAGCCCAAAGAAATACAAGACAAGTCTTTGGCCATTAATCGTGAACGTGTGAACTTGAATTAGATCGTCAACTAGTAAACGTCTTTGACAGAGGGGGGGNGGGGGGGGGGGGTGCTTAAGCAGATCTAGGAAGTGCTCGGTAGCGGTCTAATATCTAGTTGCGGAGAGCCATAATACCTTTTACTCATCACACTCATTTACACTGCCAAGTAAATGGAAAGGAAGAATAGTTGAATTGAATAAGAGGACTGTGGATGCGCAGATTGGGTTTGTAGCGGATTGCTACGATAGTAAAGCCTGACCGACTCAGAAATCTCTATGGCAGATTCCCTAAGTAAAGCCTGACTGACTTAGAAATCTCTATGGCAGATTCTCCACATCTAGCTAGACCGACTCAGAAATCTCCATGGCAGATTCTCAAACATCTAGCTACCGGCTCAGAAATTTCTATGGCAGATTCTCCAACATCTAGCTAGGAATCAGAAATCTCTATGGCAGATTCTCCAACCTCTAGCTAGAGAACAGCTAAGCTATAGCTCAGCTATAAAGAAAACAGACGTGTAGCACGGAGCGCGTTTATATCTGTGGCAGATTCTCCTACATCTAGCTAGACTCCCAGAACGGCAGATTCTCCAACGTCTAGCTAGACTCCCAGAACCAGGGAGATTCTCCTACATCTAGCTAGACTCCCAGAACCAGCTAAACCATAGCCCAGCTATAAAGGAAACAGACGAGTAGCACGGAGAATTCTCCAACATCTAGCTAGACTCCCAGAACAAGCTAAGCTATAGCCCAGCTATAAGGAAAACACGAACCAGCTAAGCTATAGCCCAGCTATAAAGGAAACAGACCGAAACTAGCTAAGCTATAGCCCAGCTATAAAGGAAACAGACGATAATTCGGAACACGTATATTCAGTCACGTAATGATCAGAAAAGTGTGCACGGAGCACGTTTATTCAGGACGTATCTTGCGGATCAAGTTAATACGTTTATTCAGTACGTATATTGATAGCGAAGTGTAAATCGTGTGAACATTAATAGCTAAATATTTCTGAGTAATATTTTATAGCAGGATTTCTATTTGGTCATTGATGGAGTGTCCCACAAGTTTGTGCAATTCTAATCCCCGAGGGGGAGAGGGCGGAGGTAAATGGAAACATTTAAGTCTTTTCCAGGTTTATATTAACTGAAGCTCTCCTGGTTGCATATTGGGAGGAAATCCAATAGAACGATTAATCACTCACCTCAGCGTAACCATTCACATTAACTTCTGTTTTCAACAAAGTTTACAATACTTCCCTTTCATGCGTTGGATTTGAAAATTTGAATCAATAGTTTTTCCCCCATTGCAATATTTAAATTAAATTCTGCCTGAGTAATCATAACTCAACTTAATAACATCTCTAGTTACACAATTGGCGGTAAAATAAATCAGCGTCAAGGTTGAAAATAAGGAGTGATGCCAGCTGAAAGCCTTTCTGGTAAGATTTTCAGAATAGGGGGTGGGGTGGGGTGACGTTACCACCTAAATTTTAAATAATTTAATTCCATGAGCTTATTTTCTTGCTACTTGTAAGCAACTTAGAACGGTTTTGCAAAATACGTGAATTTTTCTTCACCAAGTCTTCAATTTCTCCAATTTCCTCAAATTTTATGTGGTAAAGAGAATCCTGACACAGCGTTAATACACCCAAAAATAAAAATTCCTCCTGTCAGTTTCCATTTAGAGCTAAAATTTTGCAATTCCTTTCATTTTGTATTAAACTGTCTAAATCCAAATGGAAACCGATGATTTGGTATCACCATTTCCCATTAGTCGTCTAGACGCCAGTTGCCACTCTGGTTTAATTCACAAGCCTTACGTTCCTTGTCATTGAGTGCTTGAAAATGAGACTTGCATGCATCAATGAAGTCTATATCTACTCGTTCATTCCGAAACTTGCGCCCAGATATATCCTCTCTATTAACCTGTAGAATAAGATTTTATTGTATTTTACTTATATACAGAATGTCAGGAAATGATGTCAGGCTCTATTATATGCGGGCTTAATTTCAGTGAGTAGAAAATGTATGATCAATAACAAGAGCAACTGCATCAACCTCTCTTGGATATATGCTACTTGGCTAGAATAAGTACTATTACCTCTTCCGATTTCGGCAAATAACTAGTTACGTGTAGTTCCCACACTTAACTAACTCCAATAAATTCACTCTATCCATAAAAACGCATGAAATACCTGTTCAATTTAAAGTAAAAGGCAATCATATCGTTAAAGGTCACAATTTTATACAATGATCACATGCTAAATGTTTTTTTTTGCAACAAAACTAAAGATTTTTCCTTCTGAGGAAAATTTGAAAATCGAAATAATGAGTCGATGCAGGCATTCAGAGGTATTGATGTACAGTTAAATATTATTGAATTTTCAATTGAGGAAAACGCGGCAAACCTGAGTTAGGCTTTCGGTAGTAGAACTTTTGGGGTTCTTTATTACCGTGACTCACCGTGCCCTTCACTCTTCCCGTCACCGTGCGTTTCTTGTCTCTCACATACTTGCCTGAAAAGGAGGAATTGACTTTGAGTTCCAAACTATCTTCATGAGTTGAATCACTAGTGTAGCCAGATGAGGAAGAAGATTTAGCGGTCCAACTACGTTGAGGTTTCATTTGAGCACTGGGTTTAATCTTTTGTGGTAATTGTGGCGGCCGTGGCAGCACTGGAAAGCCAGCTTTTCCATCATGCTTTGTCGAAGCTTGGGGTTGCGATACTTGACGTGGTTTATTAGGTGAATATCGTTCAACTGGTTCAGGATTTTCGTATTTTCCAAGTGTAGGCTCATCGTTAACACTAGATATACCCTCATTTAATGTTTGGTCTTGTCGATGTGGAGGCTGACTGGGATGAAGACGTTTATAATTCTGCGAAAAATGTGTGGGAAAATTCGAACAAGTCCGACAGTCGATCGATGATGGCGCATAGGCCCTGTCACCATGACCTTTTATTTCTAAGTTTATTCCTAAGTTCTGAAGACAGCATGGGCAATGCTGAACCTTCTGGAATTTTTGGGTTTCTTCGGTGATTACATCAGTTTGATCGTCTGAATTCACTTCGGTGTCCTCTTTATTAATTTCAAAGTCATCTTTGGAATCGATAGCGACACCCTTGGAGGGAACTTGATTTTCGACAGGCCCATGCTTTCGAGTGGATTCAATTTCTTCCCAAAGAACGTAGCTGGTTGTATATTTTCGCGAAGCTTCTCCGGCTAAATTAATATTTTCATGATTGAGCAAAGTCGTGTCATCCAAATCAAAGTTATTTTGCAACTCTGATGTTGTTGTAGCTGTGCTAGATTTCGAATTCTGATTGGCAATACTTGTGGAATCAACAACCAACCCACGCGTTTGTGCCAGATAGTTCATTAGAGTGTAATAGACAGACTCCTCAGTAAAGCCAAACGAAGTCACCGTCGCCGTCTTTCCATGTCGACAACCCATGTAGATACGTAGAGTCTCCGCACTTGGGATGATCCTCTCCACTTTCGAAAATTTTATCTTTTTGATCGGAAGCTTTTTGACATTCTTATCAGCAACCAATTCAATACGATCTTCGAGGATTTTAATGGAATATCCTTTCGTAGTGGAGGTTTGTGGCTTCAGACTTTCCTCCTCTAAAGCCACCTTAAGATCTTCTGCCTTCTTGACCTTAGCATGATTGAAAAATTGAAGCGGCGCCTTAACTTCTGCGTCTTTGCTGGACTTAGTCGACTGAGTTGGCTTCGGCATAAGTTTGTGTGGCAATGAGTTTGCAAAAGGCAGATGCAAAGTGCTTGATCCTATTGCTATTCCATTGGATGATTGCTTAATTAGCTTAAACAGACGTGCATTCTAATGGGGCTTTCGAAGGACGTTTGAGTTCATTCATTTTGAGTCAGTCGTTTTGAAGAGATTCTTGTTGTTAGTGTGCATTTTGTGAGTGTGTGAAAGATAATTAAGTAGTCTAAATCGTAGTCATTTTGTGTGAAAAATACAAAAACAACCCTTTTCCAGGTATGGTGATGAGACAGGCGTTCCGCTACCGCTCTTTAAAAGCAAAAAATAATCGATGTTTGCGTTTTCTATGAATGCAAACTAATTGGAAATCGATTTCAAAATAAGCGCTCATGAACGAACAAATGAAATTTTTTGCATGACATATTTGTAGATATTTTAGTTATATCCTTAACAGGCATTTAGACTTGTGTGGAACGAAGAAGTTTAAGCGAGCTGAAACGCGGGCAGGACGAAAATCACTCTACGAAGCAAATGATGCCACGAGACAGGACATCTCGACCAGTCAATAACCAAAAAATTACGTTGCTATCATACCGAAAGGGCATATAGTGACTTCGTTCCCTCCCAATCAATACCACGACCCAACCCAACCCAACAGATAGTACACGATCGATATACACCCCTCCCACCCCTCACTCACCCAACTTAACATCACCATAATAATAGTATTCCCCGTCATACCTCCCTTTTCTCTACAGCTTTGCGGTGGCTTAGGTAATTTTCGGGCGACATTCAAAGCAAGGAGAACTTGCCTTAGAGATAACTGAGCATAAGTGAAGGCCTATTGGTGTAGCAATCTGGTACACGCTCAGTTTCATCGAATTAAAATGGTCTTTGACTATCATGAGCTAAAAGACATTTATTAAATAATGACTCAAAAGCAAACAGTTAGGGATTATTCATTATTTAGGAGATTTAAATTACTTCGATGTCATTTGCCTCAAGGCTAAATTAAAAATCGAATGATAATAATTTATAATTTATCTTCTCAAAAAATGATTCATTGACTGATATCACTACAGAATAATCCAATTGCTTTAGGTATAACTTGGTTTTCACATTCTCTGCTCAGCCAAACTTTTTCACTTATTTAAAAATGCTATTTAGATATTTATTATTATTACGAATTAATCGATAGAAAAATGGTCATGTAAATATTAATGATTAATTTTATAACGAGCGAGTAATTTAAAGGGGTTCGTACTGGTCTTTGTCCGAATAGCACTTGAATAAACATTAACAATCATCACTGAAGAATAAAGTTTATTGCAGCTTATGTCTACCGCAACACAAATCGCAGTCTTTAGAGTCAAATTAGTATTACATTAGGTAGCGACTCCCACTGATTGGAAGTTGAGTGAGGAGTTGCCTTATGCAGATGAAATCAGTTGTATCCAACTAGGAATATAAAGGTTTATAAATGTCCCTAGATAATAAAAATATCCTTTTTAAGAAACATGCATTTAAACAGCAAAATATGTGTATGAGAAATACTCAACTTAAAGAATTTGGAAAAAATCCGAGTTCCGAATTCGGGAGGTTCTGAAGACATCGAAGATAAGACGCCATAACTAGAATACACTTTCACTAATTTCATTTTACAACGTATCCGATGGACAAATCAGGCACAATTTATGACGTTCCAGTGGCTGACCATGTGGGACAGATCATAAATGACCAAATAGAAATCCTGCTATATAACCCTACTCAGAAATATTTTAGCTATTAATGTTCACACGAATTGTGCTAGAGTTATCTGATGACTAATCGCTTTGCCAAACTCAACACTTCGCTATCAATATACGTACCGAATAAACGTATTCCGTGCTACACGTCTGCTTCCCTTATAGCTGGGCTATAGCTTAGCTTGTTCTGGGAGTCTAGCTAGATGTTGGAGAATCTGCCATAGAGATTTCTGAGTCGGTCAGGCTTTATTAGAGTAGCGATCCGCTACAACCATATTCAAATAGATTATTTCACTATTTGGAAAATGCTTAATCATTTCACTCAAATATATCACATTCAGTCTTCACACGTGTATGAAAGCGCTTTTGCCACCCTACCAGAATAACAAAAAATTATTTTTTTACGTACTTATTGCGAAATCAGCAGTACCTACGCATCAGATTAATTTACGAATAATGGATTTCTATCAAAACAGCGGTGTTAGTTGATTTAAATTTTAAAATTTAATTTTTAAGACAAAAACAATGAGAAAGTTGGAATTTAATTTTTAAAGGGAGATGAGAATTTCCCATTAATGTAAACTCTGCTAGTATGGCTTACAAATTAGAAAAAGTAAAACTTTTATTTATAACTCTTTAAATAACTATCACTAAGTATGTGTAGCGGATTGCTACCTTAGTAAAGCCTGACTGAC